AAGAAACTACTGCTTGTCTAAGGAGGGAACAGGAAAACTTGGAAAGAGTCTGCATTGCTGTTTATTGTTCAAGGTTCGGGTTTTAGGTTTAAACAAAAAATCTAGGAAATCTTAGGTTAATAGTTACAGATTTAATACTTTTATCAGTTGTTATATTTAAAAATTATAAGAGTAAGTTTGTATCATAGATATAATTGTTGTTCTGAAAACTAGAAATAGAAAAAGGAAAATTCTTAAAGTACTAGAATATATGCTTTCATGGCAAACAAAACCCAGGTATCATCACTTGAATTAAAATAAAAAATCACTCATACATCTTTTAACCATTTATTCTATGTTGAAAATTAAATAAAACATAAACACATGTATAATGTTTTTTATAAATCTAAGATAAAGGGTTCTTTTACTGATTTGGTGCAAATGAATGTTAAAAAATATTTTTCAATAAAAATATAGAACCTTTTTCTATTAAATCGTATTTTAAGAGTTTTCTATTAAAATTCATTAACTAATAAAGCAAAAAAATCAAAGGACATGCAACTAAAATCTGATTTATTAAAATTGCTTTGAGAAATATAAACACACTTGAAAAAGCTGAGAACTTGCTAGGCATAAAAGTTGAGCATTGTGCTAGGCATAGAGATTGAGCTAAGTATAAGACAGAATTCTTGTGTTTGAAGAGTATGTTGTAGACGTAGCCATGTCAATGAACAAATGTGATAACAGAACATAAACCTTTATATAACAAATAGTAACAATAAACTCCAGTTCCATATTAAGGCCACACCATCTTTCTAGCCCCCTCATACCTTATGCTTTTGTTCTTTGCCTTCATACCTTATACTTCAGCCATAGGATGCTGGAGTTATCTAAATGCACTATGGTCCCATTCCTCCAGATTTTTGCACTTGCTTGTTTACTTTGCCCAGATTTTCTTCTCTCTCAAGTTTATTTAGTTGACTTCTATTCAACTTTCAGTACTGAGACCAGAAATCACTTTCTCTGACTCACCCAGAGCATTACTCCTTACCCACTGTGCCCCTCCCCTGAGCTCCCAGAGTACACTGAGGCTACTTACCTTTATATCACAGCTCCTGTCATCCTGAACTCTAACAGTCTTTTTTTTGAGACAGAGTCTCACTCTGTTGCCCGGGCTAGAGTGAGTGCCCTGGCGTCATCCTAGCTCACAGCAACCTCACACTCCTGGGCTCAAGCGATCCTACTGCCTCAGCCTCCCAAGTAGCTGGGACTACAGGCATGCGCCACCATTCCCGGCTAATTTTTTCTATATATTTTTAGTTGTCCAATTAATTTCGTTCTATTTTTAGTAGAGACGGGGTCTCGCTCTTGCTCAGGCTGGTCTCGAACTCCTGAGCTCAAACAATCCGCCAGCCTTGGCCTCTCAGAGTGCTAGGATTACAGGCGTGAGCCACCGCGCCCGGCCCTCTAACAGTCTTTTTACTATTCTAGCTTCCATTAGACTAAGGAACCACACTTTCATTACTGTATGTTTGTCATCTAGCCCAGCGTCCAGCACAATGCCAGGTACATAATAAATGCTGAATGAATGAATCCATTCATTAAGGGAGAGAGATTAAATGTTGGTGGAGGGGGATGGTACATAGGAGAACTGAAGAAGTAAAACAAGGGAGGGAATTAAATATGGAGAAGAAAGACAGGGGGCGAGGGAGAGGGGGGAAGGGAGAGAGATCAGAAGACTGTCATCTGTACAGACACTGGGGAGAGAAAGAACGAAGACAGTAAGGGAGAGAACCAGAACTGGTAGAGAAGAACAAATCATGAGAACAAGCAGAGACAACCACAAAGTAGGGAGACTCTAGAAGAAAACGATTCCCTTCTTCTTAAATAGTCCTGACACTATTTCCAACAATTTTTTAAAATCATATATTCATTCTCTTATGATATTTAATAGCCTATGTGCATATATTCTATCTTACAGATAAAGATGCCATAAATACAAATTAAAAATACTTGCTGAGATGAACTAAAAGTGAGTCGAAATGAGGGTCATATTCTGAGATGAGTATTAGCTGGGAAGAAAATAGGTATTAACACACTTGGGCAACAGTGTTGCCAGTGCACACTGAAAACAGAATGATTCTATACAACAGAAAAGCTAGTCTGTTTTTATTTTTAACTATAAGCTTATAAATTTTAATTCTTTCATTCTTTCAAAATCTTTTCATGTATCTTATGGGATGACTCTAGTTTTATAATCTTGGAGTCTCAATTATACTGGTTAATTTACTACCTATTCCCGAAAGTTTCTTTGATATTTAAAACTTTGAGAAATTACAAAAGAGGAATACACAGAGGGTTGCATTGCCCCAGAGTGACTTGAGAGCTGGGTAGTAAGCACTAGGAACCCATGTCATTGGTCGTCAAACCAGGAGAGTGGAGAGATCCACTAGAAAATGGAGAGATCATGGTCAAGGTGCGAGGGAAGGCAAAGTCAGGTAAAATGAGGCTGGATAGAGTTCTGAGAAAAGTCAAAGGTATACTGTGACTTTAGGTCTTTTTCACCACAGATAATGGTCATAAATTCTTGAACCTAAAGAAAAGAGTTAAGTCATTTTATTGGTTGAAGTTTGGCAGGAGAATAATTAAAATAATTTGACTTCTAAGAAATGTGGCCTAGTGATAATCTTTGACAAAGACTGTTAACAGAAAAGGGAGTAGCTATAAACATAGCTAGCTCATTCTTTTTGCGCATATTTTTAGTTAAGTAAACTTCTGATAGTCTTTGGTCATGCTCTTACATTTTATTTTAGAATCCTCTCAGGTGCTGGTTTGGCGTTTAGAAGGATGCACTCCAACTATGGGTTATGGGAAGAGTTGTGCTTTTAGCTTCACAAAAACCTGAATAACAGCTGAAAGAAGGCCAAAGAATTGGGAAGTAAAACAATTTCATGAAGAGGGCTTTTAATTTTATTTTTCAGAACACAGTCCTTTGATAAAAATACCTTTATTTTTACTTGTCAACACTGAGAGTTTCGTTTAGTTTGGTGGTACAAATAATACAAAAGATTGGTCTTGGCAATCTGAAAGATGAATCCTAAGGATGCCTACAAATTTTTGGCATACAGAATATGGCCAAACCACCCTGAATGTGCCTGATCTTATCTGATCTCAGAAATCAGAGCTTTTTAAAACCAGAAGGGATTTCAAAGGTTATCTAAATTAAATTGCTTCATTTTACATTGGAAAAGGACGATGCCTGTAAAAGTTATGTGATTTGCTTAATAATGCCAGGGTATGAGTGTCTAGGGCTGGACTAAAACTCATTTAACAGGATCTCTAGTTCACCACTTTCCCTTAAGATGCCCATCCTACCTCACATGACAACTTCAGATTAAAAAAAAAAACTCACAAAAAACTTTAATCTGAATTTGTTCTAATTTTAAAATCAATTTCTTATTTCCTTTGGAATTTATAATGGACATTTCAGAAATATGTAATTTCAGTAATATGCTTGTGCTAGTTTTGTCATGCCCTTCTGTACAAGCTCAAAATGTATCCATTAAGTTTCTTGTTTTAACGTTTAACCGGTGGTGATGAGTTCTATGCACATGATTTAAAAATGTATTTGCTGAGTTTTGCTGAAATGAGCATTTTTTTTTTCCTTTCAATTGTCATGCTGGAAAAAAGATCTGATAGATTTTTATCTTTTAGGAAAGCATTTGGGTAGTCAATTAGAGAATCCTATTAAACATTTATTCCTTTATCCACTATACAGAAAAGGGAATTCTGGACTTTTTCATCTTAGTCAAATTCTTGTGCTAATTTCTGCCATGCATGCGAACTACGATCATATACGAAAATTGTCTGTTTTAGGTCATGGCTGCGGGCATAGATTAATTGGTGAAAACTGGGCCTGTTTGTGGGATTTATCACACAGTAAGGTTTCTCATCTCCCTGGAAAAATGTGCAATTAGCTCTTCGAGAAATGCAGGCCTGTTATGAGGTTGAAGGGAGAGTTTTGGTGGAGGGAAACAGTTCACTCTCTAAGGCAGTTATGATTGGTTAGATTCCAAAGCAGTCCCTTCTGTACAGCAAAGTTCTTTTCTTCTCGCTTTCAAGTCAGTGTTTCCTAATGTTGCTAGTCTCACCAGTACTTCACAGATAGCATCTTATTTGACTTCTTTCAAGGCCAACAGATTCAAACTGGAGAGTGGTCTTGGAGAAGACTCCTATACTCCCCTTCCCCAACATGCTGTTACAGTGAAAAAGCTTTCAATCTGGAAAGAGGAGCGGGATACAAGATGTGAAGAGGTGGGTATATATGGCAAGGATGCAAAGTGGAGATGGGGCATTGGTTCCTCCCTTGTAAAGATGGTTCTTGAACAAGACATAGATGCTCCCAGAGTGCATTCCACGTGCACGCTTCTCCGTAAGAGCTACTACAAGATCCTGGGCCTGCTGCGTGGCCCAAGAATTCAAGTCGCTTTTGAGGCTAGACTTAGCCACAATGATTAGGGTTTGTCGCCATGGCCTTAGTGGTGGCTGGTCCTCACCAGGTCACAGCTTTGCTCACACAGTCCAAGGACCCACCCCAAACTGGGCTGAGCTTTGAGGCGGCTTCCCCCTCTCCTCCCGTTAGCTTGGTATCCCTACTATGCACTCCCCTTAGGGACCACAAACGCCCTTTTCCCCCAAGACCCAGGTAGTGACCGGTCGGAGCCTGGCTGGGTGTGTGACTTACCCTCAAAGGGAATGTGCAAGCCTGGGGACCCAGGATGACGGGCTTTCCCCTTCCATCCGAAGATGACCTCGCCTGTCTCTCCCAGGCCCGCATGGTGTCCTGACAGCCGGGGCAGCGCTCTCCTCCGCCGGGGCATTCTCCATCGGCAGGGTCCCAGGCTCGCGTCCCCGCCCGGCGGGAGGCTGGGGGACGGGGCGCGGGCGCGCGCGGTGGCGGGCGGGGCGCGCGCCGGCCCGGACAGCCGCGGGGGAGGAGCGCCCGCCCGCCGCTCGCGCGCCCAACGGACCAGGCTAGGGCAGTGAGGTAACTGTTGCAGCCAGGGAGCTGGGAGGCGACGCCGAGACTACAGTTTCCAGAGGTGCCAGAGGGAAAAGGAGGAGGCAGCCGAAGCGATCCGGGAGAGAAGCCCCTTTCGCCCCTCTCCTCAGCCAGCATGTCGCGGACTCCGCCGCTCCTCAGCCCGCGCGGCGGGGACCCTGGGCTGCGGCGGCGGGCGCAGCTCTGACGCGCTGCCAGCCGGGGGGCGCCCCGAACGCGGGGGCGGGGGTCCGGAGCGCCAGCGGCCGCTGCGCTACGAGCTGGGGGTGCTGAGCCCCGCGGCCACCCCGGCCCCGGCCATGAGGAGGGACGAGCGAGACGCCAAAGCCATGCGGTACCCGCAGCAGCCGGACGGGGCCGGCTCGCCCCCCGAGAGTCTGAGGAACGGCTACGTGAAGAGCTGCGTGAGCCCCTTGCGGCAGGACCCTCCGCGCGGCTTCTTTTTCCACCTCTGCCGCTTCTGCAACGTGGAGCTGCGGCCGCCGCCGGCCTCCCCCAAGCAGCCGCGGCGCGGCTCCCCCTTCTGCCGGGCGCGCCTCTCGCTGGGCGCCCTGGCCGCCTTTGTCCTCGCCCTGCTGCTCGGCGCGGGGCCCGAGAGCTGGGCTGCCGGGGCCGCCCGGCTGCGGACGCTGCTGAGCGTGTGCTCGCACAGCCTCAGCCCCCTCTTCAGCATCGCCTGTGCCTTCTTCTTCCTCACCTGCTTCCTGACCCGGACCAAGCGGGGACCCGGCCCGGGCCGGAGCGGCGGCTCCTGGTGGCTGCTGGCGCTGCCCGCCTGCTGTTACTTGGGGGACTTACTGGTGTGGCAGTGGGGGTCTTGGCCTTGGGGGGGCGGGGACGCAGGGGTCCCCGATCCGGCCGCACACACGCCCCTGGCGGTGGCGGGCAGGTTGCTCGTGGTGCTGAGCTGTGTGTGTCTGCTGACGCTCGCGCACCGGGTGAGGCTCCAGCACAGCATCCTGGTGCTGCTCTTCGCCAGCTTCGTCTGGTGGGTCTCCTTCACCAGCCTCGGACTGCTGCCTTCGGCCCTCCGGCCGCTGCTCTCCTGCCTGGTGGGGGGCGCTGGATGCCTGCTGGCCCTGGGGTTGGATCACTTCTTTCAAATCAGGGAAGCGCCTCATCATCCTCGGTTGTCCAGTACCGCCGAGGAAAAAGTGCCTGTGATCAGACCCCGGAGGAGGTCCAGCTGCGTGTCGCTTGGCGAAACTGCAGCCAGTTACTATGGTGGCAGTTGCAAAATGTTCAGGAGACCTTCGTTGCCTTGTATTTCGAGAGAACAGGTATGTTAACCAGAAAGCAAGGTCTGGAAAGGAAGCGGGGCAGGTTTATCGCTTCAGTTCCGGAGTTGAAGTAGGGTATTTGAAAACATGTTAACTTCCAGAATTTGGGGGCGGGGGACGGGGAAGGGAAGGAAATAAAATTTTATTCTGGAAAGGGTTCCAAAGCACAGGATGCTTTTTAAAAATATGGAAGCAAGTACCTTTTATCTTTGAGTAGAAATGAAATAGCCTGCTAATCATATGGCACTTTTTAAAGACTTTATGCATTCGATGAGTTCTCAGAAGGATGGGGTGAATCGTTTGTTGTTTAACAGATTGACTACTCCCACTTTTGGCATACTCTGATATATGTATTTTGGTGTCATTTCTCTGTTTGGTGTCACAATGATGTCTGCCCAAAGTTAACATACAGCCTTTACAATGAGGGAATACACACAAGAATTTTAATCAGTGGGGTTTTGTTTCTATTGATGGTAATCGAGAGGAGGAAGCTGAGATCTTGTAATTAAAAGAACAATGATGAGCTTTGGAAATGAGACTTATTAATTTAGATGAAAAGACAGCAGTATAGGCTAATACAATCTTTCACAGACTCATGGTTGTGTATATTTGTTGCATAATTAGGAGAACGTTTTGGCAATTTAACCTTTAAACTCAGTAATGCCTGGAAAGATGCCAAAAGCATTTCCATTTTTTCCCGTACATTTGCATATTTTTGTTTTTTAAAGGAATTTAAATTATCAGGGAATGAACTTGCATCTTTATGAAGTGTTGTAAAACCTACCTGACTACATCACCAAGCAACTAAGTATAGCTACTATTTATTGAGCATTTACTAAGTGCAAAATGCTTTACATACATTGTTTGAGATCCTCACAAGAACGCTGTTTGGTTGGTGACATTAACTTTATTTAGAGATGAGTAAATCAAGGCTTATAGAGATAACCCAACTTCACATGTCTAGTAAGTGGCAGTGTTGAGATTTGATTACATTTTTCAGTTCTCAATGCTGTGTTCTGCACAACTAAAAGGGTAAGAGTAGAGGTTTTGTTTAAGTAGGAGAGTAGATGTGTATACCATAAGTTTTCAGATGTTTTTGATTAGCGATGTGTTTTACACTGGGAGCTGGTATATTGCAGACAAAATTTTGTTTCTTGTCCGTATTACATTTGATGCATTCGTCTCTCTTTTCTTTTCAGTTTTTGTCCCTTGTGTTCTCTTCAAAATAAAGCTACTACATTGATTTTATGACATGTTTAACACTGATCTGTAGTGTTCAGTGACACAACATTTTGCTTCTTGAAATAGCTTCAGAGGCCACTTTTGTAGTCTATAGTTATTTGGCCAAATGCTTGAAAAAATTTTGTTATGCCTTTTGTTTTCTCAGTTTACTACCAATGTTAATAGACAGTGCTTAGCAAAATGTGTGTCAGAAGAAAAATTGTTTTGAGAGGATTCATCAAAGAGCAAAGTGTAGTATAAACTGTTTTCATAGAATGGAATAACATTTGACTTTTGATTATATGTGAAGAGATTGCATTTTTTAACACTGGAAAAGTGTTTTAGCACAATTCCATCACATTTGCGGACAATTTTCCTGAATTTAACAGTTTAACATATTTTAATTGTAATTTGTTGGTATGGTCAATTATGTTTGGATTCTTGTGTGTGGAAAATTTCTTAATTCTAGTGTGGTGCTCTTTCCATCACAGCAGCCTTTTTCAACCTTTAGGTGTGATATTGTATCAGGTAGCTTCATTTATTATTTGTATTAGATGAAAATAGAATTTGTACTTCTAAAAAGGGCATATTTTTTAGTGCAAAGAACCCTATTCACATTCTACCTTGAATAGGAACATTTTTGGGGACTTAGAACATATGCTAATTGTTAAGGGGTTTATACGTGGTTACTTAATGTTAAATGTCACAAAGTAATTCTATTTTGACAGTACCAGAAAAGGATATTTTTAACTTAGCAGAGATTGTAATAACAAGAATTTTTATTTATGCTTGTTCCTGAAGTTTAACAGCGGATATGTGGTTTTTGTTTGCATGTGTATTCTGTTAAAGATATTAAGGGAAAACCAGTACTTTTATGGAAGTAAAAGATCAAGAGATTTTTTTAATTTTCAGAGTGCTATATGTGACAGTTGTCAAAACACTTTATTGTTTCAGAAAATGAAGGAAGGTGAAAAAATTTTAGGTAGAATTTGACATAGGGGAGAATACCCTGAATTCAAAGGCTAAGGAGTGAAGCTCAAGTCTTGGCTCAGCTGTTTAATCTTGGAAAAATCAGTGCACCTTTCTGAGTCTCAGTATCCTGTCAAATCAGAGGATCTCAGTAGATGAATTATATAATACCTTCCAACTAAAATTAATTTCTTTTAGTTAGTTTACACTTTTGGTAAAGTATAAACAAAAGTGTAAATGTCACAAGTTAGTGATTCTTGAAGTTTTATTTAAATGTTGAATTTTGATATTGCTAACCTGTATTTTCCAAGGTGTAATAATTGGAAAAGATGAGCAAAATATTCTGTTTTTTGGATAGAAATTTCTTTTAAAAAGTATACGTGGGTTCATTTTTTTGATGGTAACGAAATTATTGCACCTTTTCATTTCCTTAAGAATTTAAACATTGTTATTAACATTATTGAAAACCACTGAAAACTCATATCAATATAAATGTTTTTAATTGTGTAGGAATGGATTTTAAGTAATTTTTAAGTTTTGGGACATTATGTTAGGCTGAAAAATAATGGCACATGTTCATAAAATTAGATTAGATTTATAATATTTTATTCAAATGCTGTATGTATATGGGTCAGTTTTTTTCTAAGGGTTTTTTGTGTTTTTTTTTTAATTTTTTTTATTTTTAACGAAACACTTTTAGCCATTTAAAGTTTAAATCTAGTTACTGCTGACTGTGTGCTGCTTTGGTGGGTTAATGGAAAGAAGCACTAAATTTGTAATTTATCTGCCAGGAGTCAGCTGAAACTAACAATAGGAAGTTAAAAAACTCAGTTGTGTTCATAGAAGCTTTGACTAGAATTGAAGAAACTGCATTTCTATGCCATTTTAATTGTATATTCTATAATGTAGTTTTCAGCTTTTCAGTGAGATCACTTTGTGTGTGATTTGGTAAATACCAGGTTTTGAAAGGCTTACGTTAGTGTGTGAGATATTTTTCTGTACCTGAAATGCTAAGTGCTTTCTAAATGGTTAGGTAAATATTGAAAAATTTGGTGGACTTAATGCCCATAAATATTATTTAAAGTGTTAATTTTATTTGAAAAAGGTATACATATGTAATATGAGGACTTAAAAAAAAAGAGATTTTAAAGTATAAGTGATTATTTACCCACCTAAGGAATTTGCAAGGCATACCCTGCTGCTGTGTGTTTCTTTAAGAATATTGTAGTATTTGTGAAATTTATTTTATGGCTTCAGTGAGTGAATATTAGTTATTCTAATTTCATTTTAATAGTTTGTGGTAAAATATCAGCCTACATAATAATCTTATACTCTATTTTGTAAATATTATGTGTACTCTGCCATCAGAGTTATCTTTCAAAAACACAAATTTGATCAAATCTCTCCTTCTATTCTAAAAATCTTTCATGGCTTTTCATTGTCCACAGTTCATGCCCTTCACCCTTGCTTGCAAAGTCCTTCATAACCTGCTCTTAGCTTTTTGTTTTGTTTTGTTTTTTGTTTTTTTAAAAAGCATTCTAGAACTTATGGAATGCTCCCTTTCTGAATCCATCCTTGGTTCTAGCTATTTGAGGGCTGCTTCTTATTATTGAGCTTGTGGATTTTTTCCTTTTGCTTTTTACCATTCCTACTTGCCAAAATCTCCTTTAAGGAACAAATAAGATTAAGAAGTCTTCAGACAGTACACTGATACTCAAATTAATATATAAGCTGAAACCAAACTTCATTATAGCAGAGTGGGCCGTATTTAAAAATAAAAATTGACAAACTATTTGAAGCAGTGTTAATGTGTGACAGAATATTTTCATTATATTACATGATATAGTAACATCTCCATAATTTGTGATTTCATACACCAAGTGGAAGGTAACCAAAAGTAAAACTGTAAAATGTGTCCTCAGACTCTATCCTCCTTAGTGGCAGTCCCTTCTCTCATTCTCTTTCCCTTACAGTCAGCCTGTTTCCCTAGCGTACTCTTCTGCCTTCCTATACCCCATCCAAAGCAGGAAAAATTTATACTTGCTGGAAAAACTTATTTTAGTATAAATGTTTGTATAGATATAGAAGATACAGGGAGATTTAGAGTTTATCTGATTGAAATCTGCTCATTATGTAGAAAGGAAAGAAATTGAACCCCAGAGAGAGAAAAAATACTGGCTCAGGGTTATACTGTGAGATACTGAGAAAACAGTAATTAGAACCTAGTCTTGACTCCTAGTCCACCTAGACTTTCCATAAAGAGCACATGTACCTGCCATTATAATTTTCCAAGGCTGTACTTAATTTTGCCAGGTATCTCCACTTTTGTGATAAAAGGCGATGTCCCTGGTTAAAGGAGCTGGGGGACAATAGTGGAAGAGAAGAGAGAGAGAGAGTTAGTTAGGAGGGATTCTTGAAAATAATGACCTTGAAGATAAACTTCTGATACCGTTATTTCAGAGTGACTTGTAAGGATGCAGCTGCTCTCAAACTCAGTGCCTTGAGGGGCCAGCTACACAACATTAACGTATTGAGGAAAGAAGGGAGGTTGAAAAGGAGACTAGGAAGAATGGAAGTGAACTGACTATTGCCTGCTTTCCTTGAAGGCATTCAATTTAAACACAACAAACTGAACAACTGTCTTAGCCAAACAAAACTTTAGGAGAACTAGGTTCTGTCTGTGGATAGTTCCTGATAGTTTATAACACTGAGTTGGTGTTCACCTTGTTATTTACAACCTGATCCATGCTTACTTAGGTGGTCTAGAAGGCTATTCTTAGAGCATGGGACAGAAGAATGTATCTCCTACT